ACGTGCCGCGGGACGTGCCAGGGGACGCGCCGCACGACATGCCAAGGGGACGCGCCACGGAACGCGCCAAGGAACGCGCCAAGGTGCAATGTTGAGTGTGTCGATCTTGATGTACCGTGCCGAGGGCTTTGCTGTGCTGGGCCGTGCTGAACTGCGATGTGCCATGCCGCGACTGTGCTCTATATAGCGCTGTGGATCGAGTCCTCCTTGGCATCCGAGTCCTGACCAAACTGATCTGGATCTTAAGCTCGAGCTGCCTGCGCAGATGGTAGCTGCCCCAGAACTAATCGACAGGGGGACATGCCAGGAGGACGCGCCGCGGAACGTCCCAAGGGACGCCCCAGGCGACGTGCCAGGGGACGTGCCATGGGCACGCACCGCGGGACGCGCCAAGGGGACGCGCTACGGAACGTGCCAATGGACGTGCACCGCGCGACGTGCCAGGGGGACTCCCCACGGGACGCTCCGCGGAACGTGCCAGGCAACATGCCAGGCTGCAATGCTATGGGTATCGATATTGATGTACCGTGCCGAGGGCTGTGCTGTGCCTGGGCGACCTGGACACGTGAAAACACGCGTTTCGCTCAAGACGGTCTCAGCACATCCTCATGCTAGACATCCGCCTGGGCAACCTGGACACGTGCAATCAATCGTCTCGATCGAGACTTCCTCGACACATCCTCATGCTAGACATCAGCATGGGCGACCTGGACACGTGAAAACAAGCCTCTGGTTCGAGACATCCTCAGCAAATCCTCATGCTAGACATCTGTATGGGCAACCTGGAGGCGTGAAACCAGGCGTCTCGCTCGAGACATCCTCAAGACCTGGGCACGGGAAAACAAGCAATTCACTTGAGAGATCCTCTGAATTCTGGTCCCCAGGAGAAAACAATATATAACACAAAACAAGCGTTCCGCTCGAGACATCCCCAACAAATTCTGAAAAAAAAAAAAAAAACAAGCGTTTCCCTCGAGACATCCTCAACATGATGGGCCGAAAGGGATATAGAACCGCATGCATGGAAACGTTTTCACGACACCGTATTGGGCGACGGGCACTTCCACGAGACACCCCGCGAAACATTCCACGAGACACGGGCGACCGTTTTCAGCGTTTTCCTGGCAACATTCCACGAGACACCCCGCGAAACAGTCCACGAGACACCCCACGAAACATTCCACGACGACAGGCAAACACTCAACCAAGGCGGTGTGGTCGTGCTGGGGAGTGGTCGTGCTGGGGTGTGGTCGTGCTGGGGGGTGGTCGTGCTGGGGGGTGGTCGTGCTGGAGGGGTAGTCGTGCAGGGGGGTGGTCGTGCTGGGGCGTGGTCGTGCTGGGGCGTGGTCGTGCTGGGGCGTGGTCGTGCTGGGGTGAGGTCGTGCTGTGGTGAGGTCGTGCTGGGGTGTGGTCGTGCTGGGTGATGGTCTTGCTGGGGTGGGGTCGTGCTGGGGTGGGCTAATGCTGGGGTGTGGTCGTGCTGGGGTTTGGTCGTGCTGGGGTGGGGTCGTGCTGGGGTGGGGTCGTGCTGGGGCGTGGTCGTGCTGGGGCGTGGTCGTGCTGGGGTGTGGTCGTGGAAACGCATATAGAACCGCATGCATGGAAACGTTTTCACGACACCGTATTCGGCGACGGGCACTTGCAATGCTGAAGGTGTCGATGACGATGTGCTGTGCCAGGGGCTGTACACCTGGAGAAGGCAAATCTCTGGGGCGCCCAGATCCCTCAAGTTCTACAAAACAAGCGATTCGCTCGAGACATCCTCGGTTACTCTGCGGAGCAAGCGTTTCGCTCGAGACATCCTCAACACACGAAAGCATGGCCCGCCCCCTGCGATTTATCGATCGGGATGTCAAAAGCATGATCGACCCACGAACCCGGAAAAGAATATAGAAATGTAACGCGTGGCAATGTGTTCAAAGACACCTGATTGGGTGACGGGCAAGTACAATGCTGATTGTATCGATCTCGATGTACCGTGACGAGGGCTGTGCTGTGCTGCACCGTGCTGAATTGCGATGTGCCATGCCGCGGTTGTGCTCAATAGCGGCGTGGATCGAGTCCTCCTTTGCATCCGAGTCCTGACCGAACTGATCTGGATCTTAAGCTCGAGCTGCCTGAACACATAGTAGCTGCCCCAGAGCTAATTCACAGGGGGACATGCCAGGAGGACGCGCCGCGAAACGTCGCAAGGGACGCGCCAGGCGACGTGCCAGGGGACGTGCCATGGGGTCGCACCGTAGGACGTGCCAAAGGGACGCGGTACGGAACGTGCCAATGGATGTGCCACGGAATGTGCCAGGGGACGCGGCACGCGACGTGCCAGGGGGACTCGCCAAGGGACGCCCCACGGAACGTGCCAAAGAACGTGCCAGGTTATCGATCTTGATGTACCGTGCCGAAGTCTGTGCTGTGCTGCACCGTGCTGAATTGCGATGTGCCATGCCGCGGTTGTGCTCTATAGCGTCGTGGATCGAGTCCTCCTTTGCATCCGAGTCCTGACCGAACTGATCTGAATCTTAAGCTCGAGCTGCCTGAACACATAGTATCTGCCGCAGAGCTAATTGACAGGGGGACATGCCAGGAGGACGCGCCGCGAAACGTCCCAAGGGACGCGCCAGGCGACATGCCAGGGGACGTGCCATGGGGACGCACCGCGGGACGTGCCAAGGGGACGCGCTACGGAACGTGCTGGGGACAAGCGTTTCGCTCGAGACATCCTGTCAAAATCCTCATTATAGACATCCGCCTGAGCGACCTGGACACGTGAAAACAAACGTTTCGCTCAACACATCCTCAACACATGCTCATGCTAGACATCCGCCTGGGCGAACTGGACACGTGAAAACAAGTAGTTCACTCGAGACATCCTCAACACATCTTCATGTGAGACGTCCGCCTGGGTGACCTGGGCACATCAAACAAGCGTTTCGCTCGAGACGTTTTCAACACCTCCTCATTCTAGACATCCGCCCTGGCGACCTGTACACGTGAAAGCAAACGTCTCGCTCGAGACATCCTCAACACATCTTCATGTTAGACATCCGCCTGGGCGACCTGGACACGTGAAAACAAGCGTATCTCTCGAGACATTCTCAACACATCCTCATGCTAGGCATCCGCCTGGGCAACCTGGACACGTGCAAACAAGCATCTCGATCGAGACGTCCTCAACACCTCCTCATTCTAGACATCCGCCTGGGCGACGAGGACGCGTGAAACCAAGCGTCTCGCTCGAGACATCCTCAACAAATCCTGGCGCTTGACCTCTGCCTGGGCAACCTGGAGGCGTGAAACCAAGCGTCTCGCTCGAGACATCCTCAAGACCTGGGCACGGGAAAACAAGCATTTCACTTGAGAGATCCTCTGAATTCTGGTCCCCAGGAGAGGACAATCTATAACACAAAACAAGCGTTTCGCTCGAGACATCCTCAACAAATTCTGAGAAACAAGCGTTTCGCTCGAGATATCGTCAAATTTTAATTCGCCGGCCCTCTTCCCACTCGTTATTTATCGCAAAAGAAATCCGCGGGCCCTCTTCCCGTCAGATCCAGGGGCAAACCTCTAAAGAAGAATCCTGGGCCTACGCCCTTTCCGGGAACAAGCGTTTCGCCTGAGACATCCTCAAATTTTAATCCGCCGGCCCACCTCGACCTCGATGTTCATCAGGGAAAGAATCCGCCGGCCCACCTCAGTTGAGGCACTGGGGACAAATTACCATCCTGAAAGAGAACCCTGGGCCTACGCCACTTCCGGGAAAAAAAATTCCGCCGGCCTCTTTCAAACTCGTCATTTATCGCAAAACAATTCCGCCGGCCTCTTCAAGTCGATTCCGGGGGTGCACAGCCAAAAGAGAACCCTGGACCTGCGCCCTTTCTGAGGAAATACTCAAAAAATGCTCAAAGATATTCAAAAACTGGTCGAAAAATAGTCCCCAGACTTAAGTCCCCAATCAGAGCTTGCCTCTGTAGGGGTCATGGCGGATTCATATGGTGAGATTAAGTTAGTCGCCGATTTTCGCTGCGCGCCCGTCCTGGGTGCCCGGGGGTGCCCGGGGCCCGGGTGCCCCCAGGGGTGCCTGGGGGTGCCCGGGTGCCCGCGTGCCCGGGTGCCCGGGTGCCCGGGCGTGCCCGGGCGTGCCCGAGGGTGCCCTATTATAGCCCTATAGCCCTAAGCCCTAAGCCCTATAGCCCTATAGCCCTATAGCCCAATAGCCCGATAGCCCCATAGCCCTACAACTCTATAGCCCTATAGCTCCATAGCCCTCTAGCTCAATAGCCCTATAGCCCTATAGCCCCCTAGCCCTCTAGCCCCGATTGGGGCATTTCTCTGGTATCATTTGACTACTTTTGAATACTCCCTCCTGTTGAGGGACAGGCCCGACTTAATCACCGGGGGTGCTGCTAAAAGTCCCCCCGGCCCTGGGTGCCCGCAGGACGCCCGGGGAGGCACCCACGCCCTCTCGAGGGCCCCATCGCGAGGCCTGGAGGGCCCCCGTGTTGGGGGGGGGCCCACGGCGGAGCGAAAGGCTGGGCGCACCTGCAGACGAGCGCGCTCCAGTACTCGCAGACAGACTACTCGCAAATGGCCTGGACCCTCCGCGGAGGATCTGCGATGGATTACGTCAAAGCGGACACGCGTTGTTCGGACGTTTGCGAGTAGGCACTTTGCGAGTAGTGGAACGCGCTCGGTGAGCCTGGGCCAAGGGGCACCTGTAGCAACCTCCGAACAATTGGGATCTCCGGCCAGTGCCGGAGTCCGAAGATGAGTCCAGCATGCTCCAGCATCTCTGCTTCAGCCGCCTCCGCCTCCCACCCGACCCATCCCTCCCCATCCGCTCCTCTCTCTCTCTCTCTCTCTCCTCCTCCTTCCTCTCCTGGGGCAAACGATGCGCGAAGCACGACTCACTTCGCACCCTCGTGGTGGCCCTAATCTCTCCTCCTTCTCCCCTCGACTCCCCCCTCTGCCTCCCTTTATCGCTTCGCTCCCCCCCCCCCCGCAACCCGCAGAAGCCGAGGCAGACGCACGCGCCTGGGCACGTCACTTGGGCCCCACTGCCGAAGAAGACGGAGAGCATCCAATCCTCGCGTTCTCCCGGGCCCGCCCCGCGCGGCCGAGGGGGGGCGAGCGCGAAGGGGCCCAGGGCCACACGGATCGACAGACACGGGTCCCAGGATCCCCCACCCGTTCCGTGCTTTCTGCGTGCTCGTCCTCCCCTCCACCTCCGGAGGGGGGGGGGGAAGAGGGAGGAGGGAGGAGGGAGGAGGGAGGAGGGAGGAGGGAGGAGGGAGGCGAGGAGGAGGAGGGGAGGAGGGAGGGGGAGAGGAGGAGGAGGAGGAGGAGGAGAGGAGGAGGAGGAGGAGGAGGAGGAGGAGGAGGAGGAGGAGGAGGAGGAGGAGGAGGAGGAGGACGGCGAGCAGATTCCGGAGGAGTGCCCAGGAGAGCACGGCTCGAGGCCCGCCGAGCGCGGAGGGCGGCAGGGGAGGGGAGGGTCCCCGACGTGCGCTCCTCCCCGTCCCCCCGCGCCGCCGCGCGGGTTCGGCGGCGGTCCCCGCCGCCTCCCCCCCTCCCGTTCCTGCCCCGCCCTGCTCAAGGAGGCGGAGGAGGAGGAGGAGGAGGAGGAGGACAAGAGGGAGGAGGAGGACAAGAGGGAAGAGGAGGAGGAGGAGGAGGAGGAGGAGGAGGAGGAGGACAAGGGAGAGGAGCAGGAGCAGGGCAGGAGCAGGAGCAGGAGCAGGAGCACCTCGTCCGGCTTCCCATCGCCCGCCCATTTCCTCCCCAACCCGGCTTGCCCCCGCCCTCCCCCCCCCCCGCCACGCCACGCGGGGGGCGCGGGGCATGCGGTGGCAACTCACGGGAGCCTCCCGTGCCATTCTGTCGGCTCCTGCGAATGGACGCGAATGGACGCTAGTCGACGCTCGACGACGCTGAATCGACGCTAATCGACGCTGACCCACGCTAAATCGGCGCTATCTCATCGACTCTCAAACGCGAATCGACACTAATCGACGCTAAAGACGGAATTGAGAGGGTACACCAGGCTCCCATGATTTACTACCGAAAGAATAAGTCAGTGATCCCCCATGTCCGCTAGGCTGTGCGGATCCGGGTATTGCTCGAATTGGTCCAGACAAGCTGAAAGGAACATCTTGGGAGCGAGTGCACCTAATGGTCAAAAATGATTGGAGAACTGACTGTTCCAACATCGAAGGCTCCATTTTGTTTCTTTCCGGGGTAAACTCTGGAATCCTGAATATTCTTGATCGCGCCTTAGACCCATAGATCTGCGCCTCGCCCACAGGCCCGAAGCACCGCCCCGTGAGGAAGCAATGCACGAGGAGGACGACGGGGACGAAAATATGGACGAAAGCTCTGGAGGAAGGGGCGAGAGCGCGGGGAAGCTGGACGGGGAAAAGGGCGACGATAAGGGTCGCAACGTGAAGGGGAGGAGACAGGGGACAAGAGACAAGCTTTAAAACGGGCGTGTCCCCCTACAGGGGGATTTTAAGCGAACATGATGGACCCACGAACCCGGAAAGGGATATAGACATGTGCAGTATGGTCACGTTTTCACGATATCCAACTGGGCGACACCTCACGAAACATCCCACGAGACACCCCGCGAAACATCCCAGGAGACACCTCACGAAACAACCCACGAGACACCTCACGAAACATTCCACGAGACACCCCGTGAAACATTCCACGAGACACCCCACGAACAGGCAACCACTCAACCAGACACCCCACGAAACATTCCACGGGGGTGCGACTGGGTGTGGTCGTGCTGGGGTGTGGTCGTGCTGGGGTGTGGTCGTGCTGGGGAGTGGTCGTGCTGGGGTGTGGTCGTGCTGGGGGGTGGTCGTGCTGGGGGGTGGTCGTGCTGGGGGGTGGTCGTGCTAGGGGGGGTGGTCGTGCTGGGGGTGGTCGTGCTGGGGCGTGGTCGTGCTGGGGCGTGGTCGTGCTGGGGCGTGGTCGTGCTGGGGTGTGGTCGTGCTGTGGTGAGGTCGTACTGGGGTGTGGTCGTGCTGGGGTGGTCTTGCTGGGGTGGGGTCGTGCTGGGGTTGGTCGTGCTGGGGTGTGGTCGTGCTGGGGTGTTGTTCTGTGGTGGGGTAGTGCTGGGGTGGGGTCGTGCTGGGGTGTGTCGTGCTGGGTGTGGTTCGTGCTGGGTGTGGTCGTTCTGGGGTGCGGGTCGTGTGGGGTGGGGTCGTGATGGGTGTTGTCGTGCTTGGGGTGTGGTCGTTCTGGGGTGTGTCGTGCTGGGCGTGGTCGGATGGGGTGGGGTCGTGCTGGGGTGGGGTCGTGCTGGTGTGTGGTCGTGCTGGGGTGGTCCGCACCCTGTGATTTATCGATCGGGTCGTGCTGGGGTGTGGTCGTGCTGGGTGTGGTCGTGCTGGGGTGTGGTCGTGCTGGGGTGTGGTCGTGCTGGGGTGTGGTCGTGCTGGGGCGTGGTCGTGCTGGGGCGTGGTCGTGCTGGAATGTGGTCGTGCTGGGATGTGGTCGTGCTGAGGTGGCCCGCACCCTGTGATTTATCGATCGGGATTTCAAAAACAAGCGTTTCGCCTGAGACATCCTCAAAATTTAATCCGCCGGCCTCCTTCGACCTCGATATTTATCAGGGAAAGAATCCGCCGGCCTCCTTCAAGTTGGGCACGGGGGACATTGTTTACATACTAAAAGAGAACCCTGGGCCTTTGCCCTTTCCGGGAAAAAAACATGATCGACCCACGAACCCGGAAAGGAATATAGAAATGTAAAGCATGGCAACGTTTCAAAGACACCTGATTGGGCGACGGGCAAATGCAATGCTGAATGTATCGATCTTGATGTACTGTGCCGAGGGCTGTGCTGTGCTACGCCGCGCTGAACTGCGATGCGCCATGACGCTATGGCGCTCCATATATAGCGTTGTGGATCGAGTCCTCCCTGGCATCCGAGTCCTGACCGAACTATCTGGATCTTAAGCTCGAGCTGCCTGAGCAGATGGTAGCTGCCCCAGAACTAATTCACAGAGGGGACATGCCAGGAGGACTCGCCGCGGAAGGTCCCAAGGGACGCGCCAGGCGACGTGCCAGGGGACGTGCCATGGGGACGCACCGCGGGACGTGTCAACGGGACGCGCTACGGAACGTGCCAGATGGACGTGCCGCGCGACTTGCCAGGGGACGCGCCGCGCGACGTGCCAGGTGGATTCGCCACGGAACGCGCCAAGGAACGCGTCAAGGTGCAATGTTGAGTGTATCGATCTTGATGTACCGTGGCGACGGCTGTGCTGTGCTGGGCCGTGCTGAACTGCGATGTGCCATGCCGCGATTGTGCTCTATATAGCGTTGTGGATCGAGTCCTCGTTGCATCCGAGTCCTGACCGAACTGATCTGGACCTCAAGCTCGAGCTGCCTGACCACATGGTAGCTGCCCCAGAACTAATCGACAGGGGGACATGCCAGGAGGACGCGCCGCGGAACGTCCCAAGGGACGCGCCAGGCGACGTGCCAGGGGACGTGCCATGACCAGCTCGCGAAGACGAAGGAGCTCAAGGCGTCGGCGCGGATTAGGAACGCCTCGGGCGCCTCCTCCTTCTCCGCCTCCGCCGCCTCCTCACTACGTCAGCGCTCGCAGGGCCGCGATCCCTTGTAAATTACGCTGCGCCCGCGCTGGCAGGGTCACGATCCCTCGTAAATTACCTGCGCCCGCGCTCCCAGGGCCACGATCCCTCGTAAATTACACTGCGCCCGCGCTCCCAGGGCCGCGATCCCTTGTAAATTACACTGCGTCCGCGCTCCCAGGGCTACGATCCCTCGTAAATTACACTACACCCGCGCTCCCAGGGCCACGATCCCTTGTAAATTACGCTACGTCAGCGCTCCCAGGGCCACGATCCCTCGTAAGGGCTCCTGGGCCCTCCTGGGTCTTCCTTGGACCTCTTGGGCCCTCCTGGGCTCTCATGGAGCCTCCTGGAGCTTCTCCTGGGCCCTCCTTGGGCCCCCTGGTGCCTCTTGGAGCCTCCTGGGTCCTCCTGGTGCACCCTCACGCAGGTCGGCGGGGTCAGGATCCGAAAACACATGGGATTTGCCACATTTCTGGAATTCCGCGCCACCCCTCACGCAGATCGGCGGGGTCAGGGTCCAAAAACACTGGGGATTTGACACATTTCTGGTATTCCGTGCCACACCTCACGCAGATCGGCGGGGTCAGGGTAAAAAAAACACAGAGGATTTTCTGCTATTTCCGAACTTATGCAACTTCAAGAATCCCACACTCTGTTCCCAGCGCCGTTCCGGAGGCCGCGGTACCTCGTTATTTATCGAGCGAACGCGTTTACCTTGTTTTTTATCGTTTAAAGTCGATGTCGGAAAAAAGTGGACTTCACCTGTGAAATATCGAGGTGTCCTTAAAGGCAGTAAAATTCCAAGAGCACGATCTGCGTGAGGGGTGGCGAAAAATGGCCTTCGTCCTCACAATTGAAATCCGCCGGCCCCCTTCGACCTCGTAATTTATCGCACAAGAATTCCGCCGGCCCCCTTCAAGTACAAACCGGGGGGAAGACCATCTAAAAGAGAACCCTGGGCCCATGCCCTTTCCGGGAAAACATGATGGACCCACGAACCCGGAAAGGGATATAGACATGTGGAGCATGGGCACGTTTTCACGATACCCAACGGGGCAACACCTCACGAAACATCCCACGAGACACCTCACGAAACATCCCACGAGACACCTCACGAAACATTCCGCGAGACACCTCACGAAACATTCCAGGAGACAACCCGCGAAACATTCCACGAGACACCCCACGAAACATTCCACGACGACAGGCAACCACTCAACCAAGGCGGTGTGGTCGTGCTGGGGAGTGGTCGTGCTGGGGTGTGGTCGTGCTGGGGGGTGGTCGTGCTGGGGTGTGGTCGTGCTGGGGGGGGTGGTCGTGCTGGGGGGTGGTTGTGCTGGGGCGTGGTCGTGCTGGGGCGTGGTCGTGCTGGGGTGTGGTCGTGCTGGGGGGTGGTCGTGCTGGGGGGTGGTCGTGCTGGGGGGGTGGTCGTGCTGGGGGTGGTCGTGCTGGGGCGTGGTCGTGCTGGGGCGTGG